CCCCTTCCCCATTAATCCTGACCTTAGTATACAGTGCATCGTGATAATTATCTTTCAAAACGTTTTGTTTGTAGAGTAAAGCCTGGTTCACACTAGCAATTCTGTCGGCGATTTTTCTTCTAGCGGCAAATGTGATCGAATGAATGACATACAAAAGACTAAGAATTCTTTACTTCTGAAAAGCGACTCTATACTTTTGTGTGTTAGTTCACTCATTTCCATCCGTCAGAAGCACAAAATCGCCGACAAAATTGCTAGTGTGAACCAGGCTTAATTAAAGAAGTCATGATTTTTTTATGTTTCTTTGAATTTAGTTGACATTCCAACCCTTGAGTGCAAAATATTACAAACACGAAATTTTCATGGCCTGTGATAATTGTCAAGTGAAACAATTCACAATACAGGGTATGTATTTCTATGATGTACTTGTCCTGTTACATTGTATTTTATTGCATTCCAGTGTGTTTCATTGTATTGCACCGAATAGTGTATTAGTTTCTGTATTCTACTCTACTCTACTCAACTCTACTCTACTCTACTCTACTCTACTGCAATGCACTGTGGTGCTGGCCCATTATATTCCGTATGCTCTCTATTACACTGTTCCTGTAGTAAAATCTCGGTCGGCGCCCGTGTAGATATAGACGGTGTGATGGATATGCAACTATACCTGAAAATATAAGCAAAACTAATATTTTTCAGATAGTTGTATATCCTTCACACCACAGTTGTCTAATGAGTATATAATTATGTACTATCTTGACAATGCTTGCGTTTCTCCACAGTCCACTGGTACCCAGTCTTTTGCGCGACCTATGTATTGTTTCGAACCTCAGCTTACGTCGTATGCCCGGACGTTTTGCATCCTAGTTAGCGAACGGAAATAGAGACGGAAAATGTACTTATCTGACTATCTAATCTATCTGGACTAAATTGCATGCTTTTAAGAGTAAATACAATGTCATGTAAACTACATTTGTTCAATTTTCAATAATTCGTCAAGGCCACGAGCGTTTAAGCGCGCATTTCAGGAGGGGAAAGCATTGGCATGCCCTTTTGTGGCCTTATCGGCGCTTTAAACAACGTTAACACTAAATAGCCCAATGTATGCGCAGTCATACCTGTAGATTTTATTTTTGTAGAGGTAGCCAATCTTCAAATGGAGCTAGGCTTTGCCACATTCTCGTAGCCAGAGCCCGTCAAACACGTGGTCAATACCATGACAAGGGTCGAGGGGTACGAGAATGGGTTGCGCCGCAACTGCAGATCAAAATTTAATCTCTGAACGAAATGCCAAGTGTGCCGCTAGGGGCTTCCAATGGAAAATCCGAAACTCAAGGCTTAGTCTGTAGGCTTAGATATCTAGCTTTTTCATGATATTTGGAGTTGTACTTAGCTCCAAATGATTTTTGGAGTTAGCCAGTAACCTCACAATTCATATTTCAACTCAGTTAATTTTGAATTACACAAGTTACTCCAGTGTATATTTTGGTTTGGAGTTAGCCCTTTAGACTTTGGAGGTAGCGTCGCTCCACTGCTTCCTACTTTCTGCAGCCATGTGCGCAAGTCTTTTGCCTGATTAAGAGCGTCGAACATTTTCCTTGCGATATAGTATCTCCTAGTAAATCCACTTAATTCTACTGCAATTTATTTACTGTGTACTAAAAAAATGACAGTACAGCATTCTGTGGCGATTCCTTTTGTGTATTAACTTGTGCACGGAACTTTTAAAGGTGTTGGACAGACTGCAAGAGTTCAGTTTATGTCAATAGATGGAGGAGTTAGTCAGGCTGTGATTGGCGAAAGTTGCGATCCGTCTGCCAATCATCTTGTTCGATTTTCTGATCAAAACCCGTGTACAACAGCAAAAAAGAAACTGGTGTTGAAAAATATGAGGTTTGTAATAGGTTGTGCACACTGAAGTTATACAGTTGATGCTGAACAATGCGGGATAGAACTCTCAAGGTTTTGTGGTTTAAGGTGCCAAAGCTCTGACCAGGTGTTACTGCATGGGATGGCCGATTGGGATACTGTACGTACATACGTATACAGTATATGTACAACACACTCAACGCGGGATATTCAGTCAAACAATTATTCACCGAAGTAGACCATAGCCTATCGAAGGGAAGATGGCTGTGAAACTCATTAGAATAACAAATAACTCATTATCGATGTTTGTCAACGTTTATTCATAAATCTGGTCCTTCACCGTCACGTGTGTATTTTTGCCAAATCCACCAATAGCAATTTCCCAATTGTTCGAGTCACAAATAGGTAACTTTCCTGAAACATTCCTATTGTTTAGTTGGGCAAAAATACAATATACACGATGAAGGACCAGATTTATGAATAAACATTGACCAACATAGATAATGAGTTATATTGTTATTCTAATGCGATTCACAGCCATCTTCCCTTCGGTGAATATCCTTGCACTATTCACCGTCATGGAGGTTGAATAGTTTTAGGTTCCATAACAAAAATAAATTACCAAATTTTTAAATTAATTTTGTATTTCAGCTTCCGTAATAGGTGAAACAAAACAGTATTTACACGCTTTTGGTAATTTTATTCATCAGAAATAACTTTAATTAATTAAAGAATACCTCTACACACTGTTGAACAGTGTTTGGCGAAACCGCAGCTTCGTTTAGCAGAAACATTTGCTCGTCTATAACCGGAACAAAACGGCAGCCATTTTGTTTTTGTTCTGAGGCGAATAGTGCAAGGATATCCGGAGCTGAGCAACCAATCAGATTGCGTGAAAAGCACTATCCACCGCCGGAGTATATGCTAACATGATTTCTACAGTCATATCCTGGCCATTCTGCTGCATGTGGACAACAAGCATGCAGTACTTCTATAAAACTCGTATACGTGAATTAAATATCCTGTATACATATATAATATTTCTGTGTCCGCGCGGGCGGAGCGTTCATTGTTTTTGAAGCCCGTCACGCCCGCGTGAGCAGATTTTCAAAGCCCGCTCCGCCCGCGCGGGCAAAGCGACTGCAATGGAAAATTGCCTGAAGTCGGAAGTGTCAGTATAGTCCGATAACTTGTATGTTAAACCGAAGACTTCGATTCCCGGTCGGGACAGTCAGGAAGGAATTTTCAGCAAGTGATTCGACCCACAAATTAGGTTTTCACGACAATTTCGTATTCTCTCGCATCTCAAAATCCGCAGACTTTTCTCTTAGAAACCATATGAAGTTATATAAACACACTTGAATGTTTCTTGCAGCAATGTACCTCTACCTTTCAAGTGGAAAATAATGAAACCTTGCATGAAAGAAACAGAGAATGATAAGAACAGACAAGAGTCCCAGGCTATTGATAAACATTCCGTGTACAGCATTAGTCCAAGCTCTGGAAAATTCCAACCTGATGCCAGTTTCGAGTTTGAAGTGACGTCATCACCAATCGAGGTACGTTAAACAACCCGAGTTTACATCAGTGAGATCTCTATATATATCTGGAACAAGAACTTCACTCATTCGGCCTGTGAGAAAAGTGAAGGCAAGATGGCGGAATTGACGTCCAAAATCTATGAAGGTCGTAAATAGTCATCCATTGTCATAATTAATTGGCGATGTGAAACTGTATGTGAGTTTTTGGCTAACTTGTTAAGTCTTGCTTAATTTTTAAAGGTTGACGACTTTCACAGCGTGGCTCATCTTGTGTTGGAAAAAGTTCCAGTGTTGAACTCGACAGGAAACATACCACAGGAAGAAGACGTAACTTCAATGAAAGTTGAGTTCAAGATGTCGTCTAAGGTAAGATAATTACACCTGAAAGAATATTCGTGTGGAATGACGTTCAACGCCATGGCGGACCTTAAGAAGTAGGGGGATTCAACCGTGTTTTGACCCCATGCATGTATACCGCATTTTGGTATGCCCATTGTAGATTATATATACCACTTTCGCTTGGGTCTGGTAAATGTCCGCTCAAGTGTGCAGTTGCTCGGTCATTGGCTAATAATGGTCAGCCAGCTTTCCAATATTACATTGATAGCTCGCGGTGATCCCTTCCCGCATGACCAATCATCGTCAATCATAATTAACTTTTGGTAAGCAGTCCCAGCGATTCATGCAACCGAGAATTTCTTGGTTTTATGGATATTGTTTTCGAATTTCTGCTTGTCTGGTACCATAAACGTGTTACCATAATTTTTTGTTGTTCGTCACAGCGAAGCCAAGAAAGTGTTTTGTGCATTTATTTAAATGAAAACTGCCCATTTCGGATTTGAAATATTTCAGAATATTTCATATAACTATATTTCAGAGTACGTGACTTCAAAGTAGAGTAGAGCCAGTAGTTTCTATTTTGTATTCTTTGCATTCATATTCCACTATGCAGCAATTTTCAATGTTTGGTTCTGCAGTGAAGATCCAATTACCTGAAAAAGACATTTGAGGATAGGTGTAACTATTCATAAAACATGCATATGAGTTAATTTTATATTGTTCCTTATCCAGCCTTTCCAAATTATGGTTGATCCGCCTCTTCTGTTGATACCAGGGAAACGTTTAGTTGGAAAGATGTATAAATTTCGTATTAAGGTAACGTACAGTTGGGTTAACATTGTTACACTGGGGGCTCCATATGCGTAGGAATAAACCACGAATAAAATAAATCGATGTTCATGATGACTTTGTTTGCGATTAACTACCAAAATTCTAAAGTAGAATAGTCTATGCAACCAATATGATGCGAAATATAGGATGAACTCGCGAAGTATCAAATCACAACAGTGTATATACATATGTCATTACGTTTCCCCAATGACGTCAATATTAAAATTGTACTGTGAGCAAAAGCAAACTGATTTGTTATTTTTAATATGACTTGATAATATCCCCTAACTTTAAAAACCAACAAATTTATAACAATGAAGTGATTCTCCAAGAAGATATACTCATTTTCGACTATTTTCTATATATAAACGATGCAAGTATTACAAATAAGGCGAAATCCCTGACCATGGTATAGAAATTAAACTATACATGACATGGATAACAGACCCGCTCAACAACGTACGTTGTTAATTCAACTTAAAAAATTATCTTCTGTCATCCCTATTTTGTAGATAAAGAATAATAGTGTATCAAAAACATGGTATGAATGGGAAAAATCACCTGTGATTGATATCCAGCCCAAGTCAGGTTACCTTGGTAAGCCAGAGTATATTATCACAGATTAAGTATATACCAGGGGCCGGTTGTATAAAAATGTTATTAAAGTTAACTATAGTTAGTGCAAACGTCATCCAATTAAAAGCGCGTATTTGAGAGTATTACACTATTTAACTACAAAATAGTGATTATAAAAAAGTGATAAGAGTTTTATACAACCGACCCCTGATGTGTAACTTAATAGGACTACGTGTCCTCAAATTTCCCTAGATGTACACGTCATGCTCACGCCATGACACTTGCTAGCAAAATGGCGTCCTGAAAAACACGAACTTTTGGATTTTATTGCTGCTTTTTTGGATCGAAATTTATTGATTAAACAGTCAAGACCATCATTTGTTGAATGTCTAAAGTTGTTGTAAAAAAGTGTTGTAAAGTTGTTGTACTTGTTGTAGAAAAGGTGTTGAAAGCATTTTTGAAAGCAATGACGTATTACCAAATGACGAATAATCACGCGAGCGACACTTGCTAGGAAGATGGCGACCATGGGACAACTTTTTTACTGAAGTTATACATCTGTCCATACTTAATCTATGGTATTATGCATAGTATTATACATGTTCCTATTACAACCCACACCCGGGATTTGCAGATTTTTTATTTCTGAACTGTCAATTCCCCACCCCCGGGTAAATAAAGAAAAGCCAATTCCTCACTCCGGGGACAACATTCACAAACCATTACTGCACACAAACACGTTATCATAATTTCACAAATGTCGACCATTAAGCCATCGAACGTGTTCACTACGGCTATGTTACTGTAGGTAGTGTTACACGAGACATTTGTTCTCGAAACTTGCAACGCACGCAATCTCTGATCTACATGCAGGCATGTTTAACCCATTGAGCGCCGGCACTCTCCCCTTGGCGATTAAAATCGTCTAGCATTAGACTGAGTAAAATAATAGAGTAGGACGCATTAGCACCCAATACAATCCATCAATCAACGCCATCTTTAATAGTCGAGAAACAGCTCGCAGCGGCTGCGAGTTTGCAGGCTAGGCTCAAACAGGCTTCGTAGCGGTCTTTGAAATCCTTGAAAGTCTTTAAATTTGAATGCAGGTCTTTAAGGTCTTTGAAAAGTCTTTGAATTGTGTGAAAAAGTGAAGAAAGTCTTTAATAATTAAAAGACTTTAAAATTAATTCTTTAGTGAGTATTTGATTATACAATTTCCTAGCTAATAAAATAGATTGATTGAAGAGCAAGCAAGGTTTTCGCAAATATCGACGAAAAGGTACATTTTTAGATATGATGTGGCGGGACTGATTACTGGGCAAAAATGGTGCTTATACACTCGCAATTTTTCGACAGCTGATTGCTCTCAAAGGTCTTTGAAAATAGGCAGAAAAAATCTTTGAAAGTCTTTGAATATTTTTGGCCTTGGAGACTACGAACCCTGCCCAAAGACCCTCGCTTGTGAACACTACTGAGTATTGTTCGTTGTCAACCTGGATCTAGGGCCTTCTATTTATATTTTAGCACGTTTTCACGTTAGGGGAATTGGTTGTGTTGTCTCACTGCACTTGCAATAAGGCATTGATGTTTAAAAATATGTAGAATTCTTATTTTAACACTTGTTTGTATCTGCCATAGATATTGACCAAGAAGAAAGCATGGAATTAAATCTATGCGGGACACAAGCTGGGAACTTTGCGTCAACAGTGAAATGTCACGTGAATTATTCAACAGAACCCATATACGTCCACGTGAAAGCAAACTTCGAGGTAATTGTCTGGATAAGTGTTGATATCATGCTCAGCTTTATCCAATAATTGTTTCTTGTTCTTCTGATGACTTTCAGGGTCCTTTTGTGAGAGTAGAAAATGCAGATATTGATTTTGGTTTAGTGAGATTTTCCTGTTCGGCTGTTCAAACTATAACGATAACAAATCTCTCTGAAGTTGCTGCCGTTTGGTGCCTTAAAGAAGCTTTGCCTTATAATCTCATCAATATTGACAAGGTTAGTTCTATAATATGTAATATTTTGTATTCAGGAGGTAGCTAATATTCGGGTTTATAGCCCTGAGACAAAACGCCCTTAGCAAATTAAGCCCCCGTCCCGTCCGTTTTCTCTGGGGGATAGTGGTCCAGCAGTTGGAAGATGTAAACAACCAAAGCATTAAAACGTGATATATGGCAAATATGGAGAGGACTACAACACGTAAATTAAGAAACAAGAAACATAGAGCTATTTGCAAGCGTTTTAGTTTATATTTTTGGGGTTAATCAAGGGAAATGAGCTCAGCATTGAAAACAAAATATTTATTTTGCTGACATTTTGCTCCTTGTACTTATTTAGATCTTGGGGTGAACCACTCTCCTGTTTTTCTAACAACAAATTACTACAATATTCGTACAAATATGAAAAGAAATTGTCGTCCCAGAGAAATATTATGCGAGTTTAGTGAACCATATCCAACACATAAATACTACACACATACATAATTAAAGGATACAACGATCTTTCAAAGTACAAGTTACAACTTCTATCATTCAAAAAGCACAGCATCACAATTATTCAAATTCCAACTTAATTAAAGCGATCAATTTACAAGAATAGAAATCAAGCAGGTCAGTCAGAAATACACTCAAGCAGGCTAGGTGTTTCGACAAATCCACGCACAGAACATATGTTAACCTTATATTTAAATCTATTCATTGGCTATCTTGTACATAAAAAACCTGCGTATTTTACATATAAAACCTATCTTGTACATATAAAACCTGCCTATTTTTAGGGATACAAAGAAATGCCTTCGGAATTTCAATTTAGTCCACAGAATGGAGAACTTGGAGCGTTTCAAAAAGTTGATGTTCGTGTAGTTTTCACGCCTTTGACCTGCAGAAGAGTCAGAAGTGTGCTCCAATGTGATGTACTGGGAAATCCACCAAGGTTTAAAGTTTTATTTCCTAAGGAGGATTGTGGAAATATTGGATAGCTTTGAGCTTCTTTTATCACAATGTCTGAGCATACATTCAATTTTTTGTTGTTTTTTACGTAATCCTTATACTTTTCCAATAACTTCTAGCATTTCTTTCCAACTTAGTTACATACGAGCGACGGCCGAGGTTCAAAACCCAGAAATATGTATTCTGTCCTCGAACGTTGTCTTGGAAGAAGTGTATGTTGATGTGCCAGTTGTGAAGGAAATTGTGTTGGAGAACAAAACCTTGTTGTCTTCCAATATCTCCTGGAAACAGGTATATCATCAAATGCTCATGCAGTCAAGAATTTGTAGTCTTTTTGCTTTGCTACATTTTTTACAATTTTAAAATGGAGATGTTTATTTCTATTTCACGACACAAACTCGGTGATCGTTAGTCTCGACGATACAAAACCAAATTTATTGAACGATCATGCATTCGAATAATAGGAATTGCATCTTGGCACAGGTATTAATAGGAATTACATGTCCATGCATGAGTGGTAAGCAAGACGTTTCTTGGAGATTCCTAAATAAAACTGTAGGAAAATAATATACGAAGAGCAATTTTTTTTTAATTTACTAGTGTCTTGGAGAAGATTCACAATTCTGTTCAGTGAAATTCCAACCCAGTAGTTGTACTATTGGACCACGAGAACGGAAGATTTTTACTGTTTCATTTACTGGATCAAGGGAAGGTCCTTTAAATAATATAGTTGCTGTATGTGAAGCACAGGGAATGGAGAAGTTCATATATTTATCATTTTCTGGAACAGTGCGTGGCTTGGAGGTTACGTTTAGAACTGAAACTGTTCACACAGAAGATCAAATGTGAGTATGAATTGACTGTAAAGTATGGTGTTTACCTGCCACTCCGAGGAAAACTTGTAAATTTGACAAGAATCTTTAAGATTGAAAAATTTGGGCTTCAGCTAGCGTTGGTCGCTGTATAACTACCGTCATATATTGTTGAAACTGAAAGGCCCTTCGTCAGAAGAGTTGGTGAACGCTCTCGTTTGTGTAGTCTATCCCATGCAGGCCGGGCCAAGGTAATTGTAATACACTTTGGCCATGTAGACCAATTAAGGCCAACGATCCCAGTGGGCCTAGCCCTGATCTACGCCTACAAATCTGGGCCAATCCCCGCTAGGCTAGTGTTTGTTTACAAAGTGTAGGCTAACATAGCAAGATTCGGGCTATAGGCAAAGGTTTACAGTGTAAATAAAGACGGCTTAACGTCTCAACATTGATACTTTACTTTATTTTACAGAGATATTCCAAAAGAGGTAGATGAAAACCAGCTTAGTTTAAACTACGGAAAGACTGGTCTTGGTGAAACGCCAAAAGCTTTGGTAATCCTCACTAATAAAACTGCAATAGCTACAAAGTTCAACGTTGCAGTGGAATATTTTTGTGCTGCTAGAACACCTACTCCACCAACAGGTAAGTTGACATAATCATAACAAGACAGACCGAAAGCGGTGTTTTCTCATTATATATAGTATTTACAGGATGTTCAAGGTAGTTGGATGAGTAGTTACATGACGTTATAAATAATTCCTATAGTATTTAGGAGACGTTTATATAACCCACTTGTATGTGGTGTTATGTGGTTCTTCCTTTCATTGCCAATGTATAAAAATTGTTTTATTGTTTGTGTTTCTTCTAGAAGGTTCTGGAAAGCGAAATATTCGGTATGTTTAGCACTAAAGGTTTTTTAACATATGATCACAAAATCAGCTGAACACACACTGTACTGTATTATATCTAACATTGCTTGTCTAACATTTTCACTTTTCGTCCAAATTTATTACGTACTTCATATTTAGAAATAGTGTTATCACACTGGATATGCGGACATTAGGCCACGCGCTCATCTTAATTGTTTGTGAAATCATCTTACCGAAGCATTTTTGTTTCCTAAACTTCAGCTAAGCATTCCCCATTATAATTGATCACAGTATATGAATGTGCCGCAGAAACGGTTTGTAACACTTAATTGTCTATGCTTCCTTAATATTGTAAACTGGAACATATTAAAAGGTCCGTGTCCGCATTAAAATTAAACCTTAGTTATTGTTTGAAGGAAATTGAAGTAAAAAAGGAATAGATTTTGAAGATGCATGCATTTTGATTTAATAGATTTCTTGATAAGTAAACGTATGTCATCCTTTCAAATTTGATATAACCGTTCTTTTACCCATTAAGTTGCATTGCGCCCCAATACGCCCTACTTTATTATTTTGTACCTTGTCTAACTCCAGACGATTTTACTCGTCAAGCGGAGAGAGTGCTGGTATTCAATGGTTAATTAAATTTCATGACATCAACACGTGTAATCAATATAATTTTTAACTTCGACTTCAACTTTGACATGTGTGGACTTTTCCCGTTGCCTCAAACCAACTCGTTTCTCTTTAGAGGAAATAGCATATTAGCGAGAAGTCCAAACATTGCTGATCCTTTAAGTAAGACGCCAACAAAGGCACAAGCAGGTAAGACTCAACTTTTGAATCCGCTTGCTGTCCTTTTCCTGGATATTAATAACCGAGCGGAAGAGGTGCCCTCACCCCGGACTGACGCGCCGTTGCTTGGTTAGCTCTTGTTCCACTTCAGTAAAATCTTGTTGTTTGGACACTTGATGTTTTATATCGGCAGTTGATCTCAGGAATGGAAAAATATTTTACTTTCTGGGACCGCAAGATAACATTGAAACATTTTATGCGAGTAATCAAGTAGCGACACTCGGGCGCTATAACTGTGTAACACTAACAAGTTGTCAAACTGAATGTCATGCTATATTTTAACAGAAAAAATAATTTTAGTGCACTGAGAATCTTAATGAAAGTAATTTATTAGATAACATGCATCAGGGGTCTGATCTTTAGGCAAATTTACAGATGCCAAAAAAGGGAAGCACTGGGGGGCACAAAATTTTCATTTGCCATACAACATACTATAGATTTACACACAATTGTACTATTAAGATGGATGCACTTATAGTTGCATTTCTGCGGTCATATGTTGGGGAAATTTATTGGTTAGAATTTTTCCTCTGAATTTCTCCTTTTGTCTAAATTATTACAATTATCTTTTTTTCTTTCTCGGGGAAATATTTCCTGGAAGCTCAAAACATTTTCTGGGACCAATGGCCCTGTGGTCCGATATTTTTTGTTAAAATAGTGGATATTTGCGGCATCTGTCCCAACACATTAATTTAAAAAATAATTGTTGTTTGTTCAAAACTGTTTACACTATAAACAAAGTTTAATGAAGAATATCAATGGAATGGAATTGAATTGTGTTGTTCTTTATTTTGTTTAGATTTTTGTCGTTCTCTGCTACGAGATGGTCGTGGTGCAGCGTTTGTCTGTCGACCATCTTGTGGTGAACTGCTTCCTTTTCAAGAACGTATTATTGAAGTGACAGCTTACACTGATATGTGGGGAGAATATTCAGATCACCTCATCTGCAAGGTATGCAGAAATGTAGTGATATCATTATCTTACTCTGTGTGAAAATGTTTTTGTTCTCTACTTATCCAAATGTAACAATATATACCCTCCCCACTATCCTGAGAACTTTTCAATGAAAGACGTGACTGACAACAGAGCTCATTAAGAAGTGCAAATTTCACGTAGAAATCAAATCGTTTTATTTAAATGATACTCTTTCAGAATTCATGGTTTGGAGACTGTATGAAATTCATTATATCTAGGTTTATACAAAAACTGGTCGTTTGTCATGGGCGTATTGTATTTTTGTCAAATCAACCAATAGCAATCTTCAAACCAACCATAAATATTGTAGCAACCTTCAAACCAACTATGAATAATAACTTTCAAACCAACCATGAATAGCAACTTTCAAACCAACCATGAATAGCAACTTTCAAACCAACCATGAATAATAATAACCTTCAAACCAACCATGAATAACAACTTTCAAACCAACGATGAAAAGCAATCTTCAAACCAACCATGAATAGCAACCTTCAAACCAACCATGAATAACAACCTTCAAACCAACGATGAATAGCAACCTTCAAACCAACCATGAATAGCAACCTTCAAACCAACCATGAATAGCAACCTTCAAACCAACCATGAATAGCAACCTTCAAACCAACCATGAATAGCAACCTTCAAACCAACCATGAATAGCAACCTTCAAACCAACCATGAAGAGCAACCTTCAAACCAACCATGAATAGCAACCTTCAAACCAACCATGAATAGCAACCTTCAAACCAACCATGAATAGCAACCTTCAAACCAACCATGAATAGCAACCTTCAAACCAACCATGAAGAGCAACCTTCAAACCAACCATGAAGAGCAACCTTCAAACCAACCATGAATAGCAACCTTCAAACCAACCATGAATAGCAACCTTCAAACCAACCATGAATAGCAACTTTCAAACCAACCATGAATAACAACCTTCAAACCAACCATGAATAGCAACCTTCGAACCAACCATGAATAGCAACCTTCAAACCAACCATGAATAGCAACCTTCAAACCAACCATGAATAGCAACCTTCAAACCAACCATGAATAGCAACCTTCAAACCAAGAAAATAGTTCTCGATTATTGAGATCTATTTTTTTGGTAAAAAAGAACTTTTTGGCGTGTGTGATGTAACGAAGCCGCACTGAGCACGTATATGGATAGGGTAATTTTCAGCTGGACAATAGGTCTTCGGAGTGTATGTGCTAAATATATTTCGTATATAGTTATATGGTATTATTTCAGTATAAGCTCAGTATGCGTTTCGGATGAGGAAAGAGCGTATGCTCTCCTTTTGTTTTACTTTATGTCGGTAATATTTCATTTGTAGGTTGATGGACTACAGGACAAACTTATTCCAATATTTTTGAATGTAAAAGGATGTCCTCTTAACTTTCAAATGTCGAAGGAAATATCTCCAGTGGTTAGGTAATACCTTATTCAATACTGACAAGCAGTTAGTCAGCAGGGCAGCTTAATTGTCGAATAGCCTGTCACATAGGCGACGGTAGCGCCAAGAATAGAATAGAAATAAATTCGAATGAGAAAACTTATGAAGGTTTCAAACTTTTCGGTGCCTGAAATGCCAAAGGAACAAGATGACGTGGTTTCTGCCTGTCAATTTTTTACCCAAAACGCAGGAAATACCATTTCAAAAACTCTAGATTCCAAAACTTTCTGGGAGAGCACGCGCCCGCTCCTCCCCTAGAGTTTGTCAATTAAGTACTCAAGTCCCCCAGTCAAGCCAACCTGGCAACCTTCTGCCGCATGGCTTGCCAGCGCGGCATAATTTCATTACATTCTGGATCTTTGATTGGGTATAATGGTGATAAAGTATTTAATTTTAATTATTTATACTTTGCAAAATTATGAATTCAACAATTTGCATACTAAGACAGCATGTATTGTCTATCACCAGTAACTATATTACATTCAGTTTTGTGTTTCCTACCAGGTTTGGTTCTCATGTCTCTGGTGCTCCACCTGTTGAACGCGTTCTTCGTGTCAATAATACAAGTCCTTGTGGTTAGTACATTATGATTTTTTCGCATTGTCGTCTAAGGCAGGTGGCCAGAAAGGGGTCTAACGACAGAAATTGGGTAGCACGTTTTGTATATTCTCTTCCTGGAATATATTTTAACGCTACGTTTTCACACTGCGAACAAAGAGCAAGCAAACAAACTTACCTATAAACAAGCAAACAAACAAACAAACAAACAAACAAACAAACAAACAAACAAACAAACAAACAAACAAACAAACAAACAAACAAACAAACAAACAAACAAACAAACAAACAAATTGTTGTGTTACCTGTTTACTTATAGATATTCGTCTTGATTGGGAAGTGTACAATATCGATGAGGATGATGATCAATTGATTGATCTTATTATTGATATTGGTGATCCTCACCCGAAGATAATACAAGGCAATGAAGTGGTACCTGCTAGACAGGACAGTGGTGTTCCTCTTATTACTATAGATGTCCGTCAACATATTGGTAGACTGGAAAACGTACCTTTCAGTATTAAACAATCTCAGCAGGTAAGCTGTCGTTTAGTGACATAAAAATCATGGGAACTTTCTCGACCAAACGGCAGTTAGTCTTCTAGAATTTTTCTATGACGTGGCAGTGCTACTATAAAGACTCGATCTTGCAAATACCGGTATATCGTCGTCATCATACCGGTATACACCGGTATATACGCGCTAGTGGTTACCATGGTTGAAATTAATTTTGCGACAAAAATTATTGACGAAAAAAAGTTGATAACCAGTTTTCGGCTGAACGAACGAGTGGAGATTTTTATGCTGAACATCTAGGGCACCCTATCTGTAACGGTATCATTTGGTGTATTGGATTTACAAATTATTACCTTCTCATATAATGTTTTGTCCTGCACTTTGTTTTTCTTTTGTGTTCTTCACAGATTGTCCCAGCAAGAAAACATTCCGACCTGAAAGTTGTTTTCAATCCTTATTCAAGTATGAAATGTGATGTATGGTGTTCCTCATTTTCGCTTGGTTTCATCAGTTTGGATAATATTGTGAGTCAATAATTCTATCATTTGTTTTAGTTGTAATAGATGATAGTGCATGGATACAAAACATCTCTATTTGCTGAAGGGGGCTATAACAATGACCTGGATGTATATAAGGTCACCAATTTGCGACAAAATTATTGAGCAAACATTTTTTTCTAGTCTCTTCCACAGACAACTCGGTGGCCATGCAATGCAGAATTACGCAATACAGGGGATCATGAGGGTTTTAACATTGCGTAAATTTCGTCCTGTTTTCCACTGAATTGCCTGCGGAGAAGACTGCATTTTTTCTTTGTGTTCATCCTATTTAAAACTATTATGAATTGGCAAAACTATTAAATACGATAATTAGCGAACTGAACGAACTACGGGAGTTCATGCTATTATAAAAAGCTCTTGAGTTATAATTTATGCGTGCGAGATGGTATACGAACTATTCAACTACAGTATTTGTTTACAGTTTTACGTGTGCTAACGTTCCACGTGTTTCCATGGCCCTTACAGAATTTTGACAAATTCCTATTGAGTATTGCAATGAACTATTCGTATAATTAATTGTTGTCTATCACAAACGTATATGAGATGAACCACTAATTGTTAGCTATTCATCCATATAATAATTCTACCATTTACGATTTATTGTATCAAACACTTCTGATATCTAACAAAATTCTACATGAGTATCACTCGTCCATAGCTCTTTAGATTTCATCTCATTTAATTATATATAATCGCACGAAAGCCAAATGGCTTATCATAGTAGACTTTTGTCTTAAGGAAATCTAGTAAGCTGTTACAGACAGCTTTCTAAAAGTTTGTTAAAAGTAGAAAGAGGGGAAATTGGTTGATAATTTTCAAGGCAGGACGGCGTTGGAATTAACTATTCCTGTTTCAAGGAAGAATTTAACAAAGTTTCTAAAGACTCAGAGAGAACAGTATTGAGAAACAGAAAAATGCATAAAAATAAGTATGCTGAATGGACCAGCAGACTTGCCAATTTTTAAGTTTCACCAGTAATCCGGAACATTAAAAAACTGTTTTATTGAGAAATATTTTATTGGATCGTGTAATTTCGATGAAAAGTGTTCAAAATCCGTCATCGAAGCTATAAATTATCGTATACATTATGAGTACATGGTCAAAATCTAAAATTGCGTAGGTGTATAACACTCAAAATCAGTAATTCATTTTACTTCACTGTGTAGTTTATCTCTAAATACATCTAGCAGTTGAGAAACATAAAATAACAGTTGTATTCGAAAATACAACTAATAATTAATGATACAGTATACTCAACCATATTTACTACAACGAATACATTTTAGACTAGAATGAAAAAGTTTTTCCAGGGGTGGATCCAGGCTCATCTAATAGAGAGGATGCAGCATATCCTTCAGAGGGGAGGGGGTGCACCCTTCCACCAATGTCAATCACAAACATTTCAGTATGCACTGGTCAACGCCATAAAGAAGCTGAAAACAGTAGAAAGTAGTAAGGTGGTAGGCAGTATGGTATTCTTTGAAGTCGTATTAGATGGTGTTGTAATCTTTCGTGTGGTAAAATAAGTAGTAGTGTCAGGCATGGAAGAGGTAGTAGAATGGCAGTTGAAATTATCCCAAACAATTATAGAACCATCCTCGGTGCAATATGAACCATAACACCATCCTTGGCCATCATTTCCTTCACCGAACCTCTCCCCGGGAGAATACAACTGGCCCTCATATTCACACCCCAGAGGTCGTGGAGTGGTTGTAGGTGGTGAGAAGGTAGTAAGTGGTGTGGTAGATTTTGGTGTGGTGGTTTTTGGTCTGGTTGTTTTTGGTGTAGTTGGTTCTGGTGTGGTTATTTTTGGTGTGGTAAGACGGGAAGTACAGTTGAAATTATCCCACGCAACTACAAAGCCATCATGGCCACAATATAAACCATAACACCATCCTTGGCCGTTATTCCCTTCGTCGAATCTCTCCCCGGGAGAATAAAACTGGCCCTCATGTTCGCATCCTTGTCGTGTGGTAGGATGATTTGTGACAGGTTTGGCGTGAAGTAAGGAATGCGTAGGTCGTGAGGTATATCAGAGTTCGCAACATCCCTAAAAAAGAGGATAGCGTTTTGTTCAGTGCTGTCATTGTAATCAAGTAATTTCACATGTTGCATAACTAAATAAACATTGCATCGAACATATATATCCATGCTCTGTTTCACTTGTCGTTATATATAAGCTGAAATAATGGTGATGGGTAAAATATTTCCATCTGGAAAGTTTAGATTTTGTCAGTTGACGGTGGCATCAAAGTGCTTTTCCTCTTGCGTGTTTGAGTGTAATTGTTCATACGCTGTTCCATTTGTTGGTAAATTTAAACCACTGTTCTGAGCTAAATTAACATAAAATTTGTATAATTTTAGATTAATCATGCAGCCAAAGATCGTCTGAATTTGTGTTCAAAATCAACGTTACTACATAATATTTTTGGCGCCAATTCGCACACCATGAATTCAAATATAGTTTGTGGCAGCATAATGTATTTTTATAGTATTACATTCTTCAATCATTCATTCTATTGATGGTCCCCCAAGAGATATTTTAGATTTTAAGATTTCTGGAAAATTATTTTTAACATTGGTGTAGTCTAGATTTAAGACAGGGAACTCGCTGAGACAAGGTGAAAATAGTATACAATGTGAAAGATGCTATTTCTTGTGCCTCATATTAGTAAGCTACAAAGTTTCATATATATATATATATATATATATATATATATATATATATATATATATATATATATATATATATATATATATATATATATATATATATATATATATATATATATATATATATACCAAATATGTATTTAGAATCATATATGAGTAGAGTGCTCGATATACCGAAGTATAGAGCTAATATAGATAAAGATAAAATAAACCTGGTTTACTTCATAAGATTTATTCACTACAAACTTGTTTCGTATGACAAGCAATGCTTGCCACACTCATCAGGACATTTAAATTCACCTGATGAGTGTGGCAAGCATTGCTTGTCATACGAAACAAGTTTGTAGTGAATAAATCTTATGAAGTAAACCAGGTTTATTTTATCTTTATCTATCTATCTATCTATCTATCTATCTATATATATATATATATATATATATATATATATATATATATATATATATATATATATATATATATATATATATATATATATATATATATATATATATATATAGGGTTAGATACCATCAACATTTTTAACATTATATTTACGACGTGATGAAAACAGTATGAATCTCAGCTTTGGCAATCCGTTTTCGCCGAGTTAGTGATATATATATATTGATATAATTGCTTGTTGTTCAGTGATCTCCAAATGAGGTCGAATATCACTTACTAAAACATTTGTCCTCTTTGTTAAACGTAACAGCGTTCGGACCACAGAAATATGGGATCGAATGTATATACACTCAAAACAGGATATCAATTCCCATACGACAGATATTAATGTGAAACGATGTAAGCTGCATGAATGTCGTCTGTTTATTAACCTCAAGTAGAATTTTTCATCAAAGATTTGGACCTCAATTGAATACCACATAAAAGTGCTCTTTATTTAAAGATAATCGTTCTCCTTTGTCTTGAGTAGTTTCCGCATTGTCCACTCAAAACTGACCAATAAGCATCTCTGCAGGATTTTTCACATTAATTTTTTGCAGGGGTGGCGAAACTGGGGGCAGAGTTAATAGGTAATTCACCACTTACAAGTACTATATACATGGTCATGACACGGAAAAAATGTAAACAGCCAGCAAAGTTCGTTGCATCGTGCACGCAAATATTATAAAGAGCTTTTCAACACGAATTCGCATATTTCGTTCAATCTATACTAATTATCTTCTTAAGTTCTTTAAAATATTTTCGATAATACAATCTATATTTTGGTTTGTGGAAAACACATGCGTAGATTTTCTTGCAAACGTTCGATCCGTAACTCGTAAGCCCGGATCTTCATCAGTGCTATAATAATATATTATTTACTTTACAAAGGTTAAAGATTAGTTAGATTAAATAAGTTGCAACCACTTTAGTATTCTACTGCAGCTAACTCTCGACTATTTTATTCAAGTGCATTTTACATGTGAAAGGAAATAATCAATATACGTTACGTTTCCACAAAGCAATATATATATATATATTACAAAGCAATATATATATATATAGGATCACGCATTAAGGAACATTTGACAATGGAGAAACAAACAGTCTATAAGCACTTGGAATCACATAAAGAAACAGGACATGCACCGAACCATAATGATATAACTTGGAGAATCTTACATTCAAATATCAAATTCGCCGACGAAAGGAAATGCATTGAAGCATTCGAAATACAAAAGAAATCGCATAACATCATGAACGGTTGCATGGCTGGAGAACAATAACAATTTAGGACCCTTGATTTTAATTTTAATTTGAATTGTTAATTTTTAATGGGAACAATTAGGCTCCACGGAATTCTATAGGCACTTTTATCAAATTTTAATAGGAACAATTATAGACTCTAGAGAATTCAATACTAGGAATTTTTAATTATTGATGTACAGTATAAAAA